CTGAGTCTTTATTGTGATTGGTGTATAATACAACGGTAATAAGAAAATTATCTGGACGAAAACTTTTTCTCCATATAGCCATAGGAACGTTGCACAGACCGTTTATTACTTTGTATTCGGTTCTCGAGAGATTGCTCAGAAGCAGCTACTATCTGGGCACTGTAAAGACGCAGGTTAAAGTGAAATGGAGTAAGTATAAACCGTAAGAATGTTGGGACAGTGGATTGCTTCTCCTCTTCTTCCTCCAACTTCTCTATAGCCTTGGTTGCTTTCACATTCTTCAATCTTTCCGTTTCACGCCACTTCGCATTTTCCTGTTATTTGACGTATAAATGATAAATTTGAAAAACGACCACTACCTGCATTTCATGCAAACGAGCTTCCTTTTCTTCTTGCGTCATTGGCTTCCTTTTCACAGGGACCTATATGTGTCTCCTATCATAATATACAAACTCAAAGAACCTACTTTGTTTGTTACTGGCGCTGGCAGCACGCTTATACTTTGATATGGGTTTTTAGGGGCGGAAGCTGCAGTTTCATTTTCATCTTTCTTCTTGACCTAAGTAGCTTGGTAGAATGGGAACGGGAAAATCAACGTACTATCACTAAGCCATAACCTGCCAACTTCTTCTTGCGCTCATACTCTTCCTTGTCGAAATCTGGATGTTTCTCAATATCGTTCTCATCGTCAGAGCNTCATACTCTTCCTTGTCGAAATCTGGATGTTTCTCAATATCGTTCTCATCGTCAGAGCTTGAATGGGATTCCTTCTGAAATTGAAGATGATGACAACTAGGTTGGAAAAAAACTTAGGTTGGAAATACCTTAGTTCTCAAATGTTCGGGTATATGAGAATCCAGCTGACGTTGTTTTTTGGCATCGGGAGATCTTCAATGTAACATTATTCAAAGAAAAAATGAAAGTCTCAGCTGATGTCAGTCATCAATTTTAGGAGTAAGTCAATTAATTTCGAAAACCAACCTGTCGGGTGAGGAGGAGCGTGATTTCTTTTCAGGACGGTTTGAACTAAGTAATAACTGATAAGATTTAATCAATACTAATCAACATACGCTTTCTTAGAACGTGCTGGAGATGCTGACGATGAAGAAGAGCTTCTGGAACGCGTTCTACGGCTTACAGGAGATCGTCGACGGGGAGATTGTTTGTGTTGTTCTCTGCTTCTAGAAGTTCGTCTTTTGGGAGAAGAGGAAGTCCGTCTCTTCCTGGCCGGCGATGAAGAAGAGCTTTTGGAACGCCTTCTACGGTTTACAGGAGATCGTCGACGGGGTGATTGTTTGTGTTGTTCTCTGCTTCCAGCAGTTCGTCTTTTGGGAGAANACGGTTTACAGGAGATCGTCGACGAGGAGAATGTTTATTTTGTTCTCTGCTTCTAGAAGTTCGTCTTTTGGGAGAAGAGGAAGTCCGTCTCTTGCTGACCGGCGATGAAGACGAGCTTTTGGAATGCCTTCTACGGTTTACAGGAGATCGTCGACGAGGAGAATGTTTATTTTGTTCTCTGCTTCTAGAA